ATTTTCTGGTCCCCGTCGCAGGTTACCTCTGCAGGCTGTGTCACAAATTCTACCATAGTGACTCCGCTGCCCGGGTCACACACTGCAAGTCCCTGATGCATTTTGAGAACTTTCAGGTTAGACCCCTTTGGCAATTGCATGGCCTGGCATTTGTCACTCTGTGTGTGTCTTCTCTATTCCCTCTGCACCTCCTCTCTTTGAGCTGTCTGTCTTCAGCACCTTCCCATTGTCCTCAGTGTCCATCACGATGTCCGTCATGCCACAGCTTTCATCTGGTATGCTCTCTGCTTGTCTTCAACTCCCCTTGTAGATCAGACACCATTCTGCTGCTTCCTAACTACTGCTAATGTCTGCCATTGCCCACTCTCAGCTGGAAATCCTCCATCTCCCCAGCAAATGTTGGATCTGGTCACTGAACCCCTGAAATGGAATCCCTGATTCAGCCTGGGACTTTCCTGGTCGCTTAGTGAGTACAAATGGGTGAAGCTAGTGGGAGACTAGACAAGAGGCTGCTCCTTTTAAAGAGAGCAGGAAATGATACGCATCTGTCTAGGTGAAGCTTTAGTTTCCGTAATGCTGGAAATAGGCCCTGACACTCAAATTACATATAGGTAACATCTATACAGGGGACAGGTAGTTGGAAACTCATCTTTAAAATGGTAGAAATGAAATTCCAGGCCACTTTTAGAAGATGGAGAACTCCAATCCCTAAGCTGCTGAGAGTTTGGTCGAGCAGCAGGGACTAGGCAGCAGCAGGGAGTTTTTGGTAGCTTGTCTGGAGGCTCTTCCCTGGCACAGAGTTCAGCCAGTTAATGCTGTTCCTCTGCTGTATCTAGTCCACACAAAGAAGATACAAGAATGGCCCTTGCTTTCAGCTGTAAACTCATCCACTGCCTGGACCTGAGTTTGCCACCTCCTCTCTGGGCTTGAATATCAGGAAGGGCAGTAATCCGATTTGGTGACCTGTGCCCATCAGGCTGCTCTTGAGGCACTGTAGTGCTTTTCCTTCCCCCTTCAGTGACCACTGCCTGAGTCTTATGTATGGAAGTGGCATTCCCTGACTCCTGGGATAAGGGGTAATTCCAATGTGCATTTCCTCTGCTGGTTCGGGCCAAGGCCTGCTTCAGCAAAAATATCCCATTTCTCCTCCTGTGTATTCATAGTTTCTTCATGGTGTGTCCCATGAAGCTTTTCTGCTAGTTTTCAGACAGGTTAACCTTTCACTAGCCTGGCAAAGGAGTTAACAGTCCCCTTTCTATTCGTTGCCTTTACCAAGCGCTGGGGGAAACAAGTGTCCCACGTGTGCTGGCAGTTCTTAAAATCTTTGCAGCAGGTGAAGCTGCAGCTGTTCCTCTGGGTCACCCATTCCCTGTACAGATCACTTCCGGAATGAAAGAACCAGTCCCGCTTGTCCAGGTTTTGCTTCAGTAAGTTATTCAGATCGATGTAGTTACATTCCCTCTTCCCGCTTGTTAAAAATGAGTTAGCATAGCAGCAGTGAGCGTTAGAACCCGGGGAGATGCTCCTGTTTCCACCCATTGGGGTACCAGGAAGGAAGTGTTGCCTAGTAGTTAGGGGACTAAGAGTCAGATTTCCTCTATTCTGGCAGTGAGTTGCTGTGTTACTTTAGGGAGGTCACTTAGCTTCTCCATTCCTATCTATAAAATAGTGAGAATGGCCTCAAGGGCTACCATGAGGGTTAATTCATTGATATTTTATGAAGTGGTTGGAAGTAGCTGACTCCAGGTGTATGTGGGTGTGACTTGGAGTTGGCCTTCTACAAATATTTAAGGCTAGTCTCCATTTATAACTAGCCACTGCCCTTTTGAGTCTTGTGATCTCAGCTGGAAGCAGTTACTCCCTGGACTGTACATATTGCTGGTTAGAGGTCTAAGGACTGTCCTGGTCTTTGCATTAAATGCCTTCTAGTTTCTTTCAAGTGGGGTGAACAGCACTTCTGGACAGAATTCCACACTGGAAGCTTCTTAGCAGCAAACTGCTTGCATCTGAGGCACCAATCTGGAAACCGCTACCTTGCACTTGGTCAACAAGAGTTGTCCCAGTTTAAGATGGGACTTTTAAACTGATTTAGTTACAGCAGTATGTAATGCTTTGTGGACACTTAGCTGGTTTAAACTGCTGTATTTGGGTTTGGCTTAAATCAATTTGGAATAGACAAAGTAGTGCAAACCTCTCTGTGGACCCTTTAACTTAATCAATTAAAAATTAAACTCAGGTTGCTTTGTGGGGTAGACAAAAGCACCATCAGGCTGGCAGCAGCGGGGTGCTGATCATGTATTCAGTTCGCTTTGAGTGCATGAGATATTTCTGGCTGTTCAGTGCAACTAAACATTTTTCACTTAAGTGTCTGTCTACCCAGTGGAGACAACTTGGCCTTTTACCTGTTTCTCCCCATACAGAATGGGCTCTCTTCCTCAGGCCCCAGGAGCGTGAGCAGGCACAAACTCTTGGACCAGCTAACTTAAAAGATTAGGACTTTCTGAGCTACCAAAAGCAGGGAGCTGCATAGAGCTCTATTTGAAGAGTGATAAGAGTTGTACTTACTCTCTAGGAGCCAGGAAAAATCACAGGGAGGACTTACCTTTTGTCCTCAGTACCAAATGGCTAATAATCCAGCCCCTTCAGTGGCCAAGTACCATAGTGCAGCTCAGATAGCGTGCGGATACAGTAAAAGAACCTGAATAGAATAGTCCAGTTAAACAGTTGGGTTCAGTACAAGCCCCTTGTTCCAGGGCTTAAGTTTAGCATCACCAATCACTTTCATATTTCTGTGGAAGAGGAGCCCCATGCTGTTTACTTGGTGCCACAGTCTTTCTAGAAGTCTGGATCACCACCTCTCTAAGTAAAGGCCTCCAGACTGATTAACACGCTGGAGAAAATCCCTTTGTGGCTTAGGATCCCATGGTTATACTTCTGTAGGTTGGCCCTACATGGCTCTTGTATACTATTTTTCTGAAGTTGCAGTGTCAGTTTTAACCTCCTTGCTGATCTCTCCCTGGAGGTCTCAGTTTAGGAACTCATCAAATAAGTCATCTTGCTGACAATGCTGACATAGGGCCTATATTCACTATCTAGTGAATGTCGGAGCACTCTTGCAAGTGGGGACACTTACTGCTTAAAATCCTCTCCTAGAAACATCCCCTTAAATATGATTTTACTGAAGACTTCCCCCCCCCCCCCCACTTGGAGCTCTTGCAAAAGAAGCGGAAAGTGAATGAGCAGACAGTCTGATTGCATTGATTAGATGAGCAAAGTGCAAAAGGAAACATTGTCATTTCATTGTTTAGCTGCAGCAAAATTTGTGTTAATCTGGTTATTCCCCTTTAAGATGCCTGTAAGGAGTGCAAACAACCAATAGTCTTGTGTATCTGGAGGGTGAGACTGCCTGCCTCCTGCCCGCCCCCAAAACTAATTCAGTCAGTAGTTGAGATGAGTTTTGATTTCACTTACTCAACTGGGCTATTGATCTATCATCTCCGATCAAGATTAACAGCTATCAAAGTCTGGTTCTAGCTCTGTATTCCCAGCCTCATTCTACCTAATCCCTCCGCATTAGCAAATGCAAGAGGGAATAAAACCTTAATACCATCACTTTTTGCCCGGAGCAGACCTGTACCTGCTTGAACTCCTTCCCTCAGCAGCCCACCCAAGAGAGCCGTAGACTTGTGCTTTGTTTGGAGATTAAGCCAGCCATTGCAGTCTGTCACTCGCTACTGTCTTTGTGCAGGTTTCTCCTGGACCAGCTGAAACTGTCCTGTCATGTCTCAGGCCAGTTATTGCTCACACATTTTTCCTTTGCACAGAGATACAAGGCAGCAAGGCACCGAGCTACAGCAGCACACGCGGAGGCCTCTTTGTGCTCCCGTGGCTCTGGCTTCCAGTCATCGGATGAGCAGCTGCAGCCACCTGCTAAGACAGAGGATGAAGCTGAGACAATGAATACCCATCATGGCATGGGAGAGGAAGATCCAGAATTATTGGCATTAAAAGAACAAACCTCTAGGTCTCTAGAGAATAAGAGTGAGCTGGGCCCCTCTGCGAGAAGGGGTGAAAGCCCAACCAGTGAGACTGATATATGTGGAGCCCTGGTCATAGAGGAGGAAGGAAGTCAGGATGAGGGTAGCAAGTCCCCCACCACTAGTGAAGACTGCCTGCTCCTAGATGAAGACAGTGCCACAGGGGAGTTGCTGGGACACAGTATGTGTAAGGAAGAGGAAAGTGATGGCACAGACAAACCCCAGTACCCAATGAGCGAAGGGGATTCTGAACAGGAGGCAGCAAGCATCAGAGAGAAAGAGGCAGACACCTGCTCTCCAGCCAAAGGAGAAGCAGCAAATCTAACCCCAGCAGGGCGTAGACGCTCTGCCAGACGCAAACCCAGATAGAACAGCTTTAAAGGGAGAGCCCTTTGCATACAATATTTGCTGGAAATGTTTATTTTCGGAGTCTTTTAATAGAGCAAAAAACCTTCCACTTTACTGCTGTTTTTATTTTAAAAATAAAAAAGCCTGGCTTTAGCGTGTCTAAGGGGATGGCAGTGGGTGTTATTTATACGGCTGGGATGTGATAGAGATCCATGGGCTAGCCAAAGCACCGTACTGCTAAACCTGAAAGGGTTGCTGAAGTTGACCTTCCTAAAGCTTAGGCTCACTGCTTGAACTGGCAAAGCCTGCTGCAAGACTCTACTCACTAAGACTTCTCGCTGTACTAGCCCTCTACTTCCTGCTGTGCTAAGGTGGTTCCCCTTTCACAGGTCATAAGCCTGATGAGAGCAGAATTTTACTGCTGGCAGATGAGTCAGCCCCATGCAAACACCATTTATGCCCTTTCACAGAATGTTTTCCCATGGAATCAAGCCAGTGCACTAGGCAACAGGGTCACTCAGGACCCAGTTTTAGACTAGAACATGAAAGAAGCTCCATCATTTGATCTCTCAGCACTTAAAGCAAGGCTGCCTCTGAAATGCTTCTAGGAGGACATTCAGTTTAAGCTGGTTTATTAAAAGTTTCTTTATAAATACTCTAACTGTACAAAATGACAGTCACGTCACAATGCTGGGCCTTGCCCGCAGAAGCCACACACACGCTCAAAGCAGTTTCACAGAGTTACAGTGCTCATGCAGTCTTACAGACGTGTTTGTATCTCCCGGACATTCAGGAAGGACTCTGTTATGACAGCATTGCTGGGCAATCCTCCTACCCCCCCCCCCCACCATGGGGCTGTGACACCACAAGGGGAGCGGAGTAGGCTGCTATATGGTAATACCTCTCAAAAGCCACTGCTGAGGCTCTAGCAGTGGTTTAAGGAGTTATTCAGCTGCTCTTTACTCTCCATTAAGTAGAGCATGATGGTAGTTTACATTTGCTTCAAAGGGGGAATGTGTGGACTGGAGTCCTGTCATTGAGCCAACATTTCTCATCACAGAACTTTTGTAAACCTAACTGAAGTGTAGAATGCAGGGAGGCTGCAGCCACCGGGCTGAAGAAACCAGATGATTTAAGCCCCAAAAGAAGCTTATTACCCTCCCCACAGTTAACACTGAGAGCAAGTCTGGGGATAGAATGGAGCCACCATGTGCTATGGATCTCCAGAACTGTAAGGCTTAGAAGCCCAGTTTACTGGGGGAAACGAGTCTGTGAGGTAGAGTTCTAGACAGTCCTCAGGACAACAGTCACCACTTTCCTTGGTAGTTGAATTGTGGCAAAAGGGGCCTATACATGAATGCCCACACTTGCAGCATAGGCTTCCCATACCCAGTTCTAATGGTGTCACTGTCAACTCAGAACTGGAGCTAGAAATATCAACACCCCATCTCTTCCCCTCACCCACCTATTTGCTGATGCAGCATCAGTCACAAAGAGAAAACAAGACAGACAGAGAAGGGCAGAACATTTAACCACTGGAGGGACTGCACAACAGCAAGTACCTTTTCTAGTCAAGTTTTACATTAAACCACAGACAGTGGAGGTCCCATTGGAAGTAAAAACTATTTGACAGTTTGTGTCCAGCAAACAGCAGGAACTAGATGTCCGTGTGTGGTCCCTGCACATCAGCTTGCATGTTCTGCTCTTCACTCAGCTGCTGCTGGAACTCCAGGCGTGTCTGACGGTTGGATTCCAGCAGCTCCTTCAAGCGGGCATGCAGATGGTCATTCTTCTCCTCCAGGTGATCCAAACAGGAGTTGATTTGGTCCAGCATGGAGTTTATTGCTGCATATTCTAAAGGAAGGAGAACAAAAAAAATCCTGAATTTAAATTCTTGTACAACCACCACTCATTCTAAGAAGGTATCAGGCAGCAAGGCCTCTTGCAAATATACCTCAGAACATACAAGGCAGGTCCTCTATCCCAAATGCATCCTCTCTGTATCATTTTACATCACATCTACTGGTGAAACTAGGTCTGTGGAAAACTGGGTAGTTCAGGGGATTGGTAACATGATCTAGGATGTTTTACCTCTGTGTCACAGACCAGGAAGGAATTGCCATCTGGCAGCTGTTTGTTAATCTCTCAAGTAAGTGGTTGGGCTCTGGCCAGCTTCCACTAGACAGGGCTCCACACTGCAAGAGGGCTGAATAGATAAAAGCTGAATTAATCTTCACCCTCCCTAGAGGTGGCCTTGCCTAATCAGGATACAGGCACCTTGAGAGGGTGCTGTTGAGAAGCTTAGCATAGAGAGTGTAACCTCCAGAGCTGCCACTCTAGGACCTGGCACATGAGAATCTGGAAAAAGAATTCCAGAACATCACAGCAGCTGATGTGGGAGCAAGGGTAGAGGAAGAAAGGTGCAGTGCAGTGGAGACCCTGAGTGAGCTGAATAGGAACATCTCATAAGATCCTAAGGGAAAAAGTAACCAGAGGGATGGATGTGGACCAATTCTGATTTTCATGAACAGCACTTATCCCCTTAATTTCTTAAGTTTTTCACCCAGGTCTCAATAGTGCAGAGACCACATAGGTCTTGCTTTACCATTTAAAACACTGCACTAGGAAGCAAGGATTCATTATAAACCACCCTGCAGGATATATGTATGTATCATGCCATACAATCAGCACAAACCAGGTCCAACAGGCCATTCAAACCTACTTGTGATGCTGCTTCTTCCCAGGGGGAGGGGGGGAAAAGCACTCACACCAAGCCCTGAGTAAAAGGAAAAATGTGGTTCTCATGTACATCTACAAAGAACATGATCTAATTCAAGCCTCAGGAGGAGCCACAGATTTCACTTCACACACAAGGTCAACCAGAGTTTACACGGAAAGAGAATTATTTTTAAATAGCTAGACCTGTTCTGCTGAACACAGCAAGGGGCATCAACAACCAGTCCTCAAACAGCATTGTTTAGAATAACAGACCACAGTCTGAATGGGACTTCTCTGCAGCTTGCACTCAGACATAAGGAGCATGTGGGAGAAAGAAATAAGAGGATCGGATAGTGAAGCCGTTTTCAGCTAACAATACCCTGAACACAAGTACTGGTTTTCCCAAAATCTTTTAGAAGACAGTGTGGGAAGTCCTTGAATAGCACATACCACAGCTGAAAGCGATTAATGCTATACCTTAATTCTGATACTACATTATTCTAAATTAAATTGTGAAGTGACCTCCCGAGACTGGAATGCACGGGGTTAGAAAACAGTGCAGTCCCTGCTTCCAAACTGGGAGAGCTTTGTGGGACAGGCTAAGAGAAGTGATAGATTATTTAGAAAACTCATCATATCTCAGGACTTCCCACTCAAAGCTCACTATAGAGATACGTGGTAACAAAAGAATCACCAGCTTCTAAGGATCTGAGTGATTTCAGGAGGAAACACCCTTGACATCTTCAGAATCTAGGTCTAAATTGGATGGACAGCTCAAATGGACCCAGCAGAAAGGATCTCTTGAGGCAGGTGATAGTCCATAAAGCTCAAATTCTCAAAGGAATTGTCATAGAAGACTAGCTAAGCATCCCTTTTTCATCAGAAGCCAGAGGAAGGTCTGAAATACGATATTCCCTTCCTGGCTAGTAACTAGTTGTACTGGCGCTTCCCGGAACAGTATGATGAAAGGCCTTTTTAGTCCTAGAAATCCTCCCGGATATTTTCAGGAAAGGCGCTCTTAGATTTTGTTAAAAGTCACCACACTAGGGTGTTGGATGGTTTAGTCTTATAGAACCATAGAAATGTCGGGCTGGAAGGGACCTTGAGAAGTCATCAGGTCCAGCCTCCTGCACTGTGGCAGCACCAAGTAAATCTAAACTGTCCCTGACAGGTGTTTGTCCAACAACGGTGATTCCACAACCTCCCTGGGAAGCGTATACCAAATCTTAACACACTTATAGTTCAGAAGTTTTTCCTAATAGTTAACCTAATTTTCCCTTGCTGCAAATTAAGCCCCATTATTTCTTGTCCTCCTTTAGTGGACAGGAGAAGAGTTGATCACCATTCTCTTTATATCAATCCTTAACATATTCGAAGACTTGTGTCTCCCCTTAGCCTTCTTTTCTTAAGACTAAACGTGCTCAGTTTGAAGAAGAAGAAAAAAAAAGATTTCCTCATAGGTCAGGTTTTTTAAGGCTTTTATCATTTTTGTTGCTCTCCTCTGGAATCTCTCCAATTTGTCCACATTGTTGCAGAAGTGTGGGGCCTAGAATTGGACACAGCACTCCAGCTGAGGCCTGACCAGTGCAGAATAGAGCAGGACAATTATTTCCGGTGTTATATAGGATTCCTGTTAATATACCCCAGAATGATATCTGCCTTTTTTGCAGCTGCATCACATTGTTGATTTATACTCTGTTTGTGATCCACTATAACCCCCAGATTCTTTTCAGCAGTACCACCACCTAGTCAGTTATTCCCCATTTTGTAGTTGTGCATTTGATTTTTTTTTCTTAAGTGAAGTACTTTCCGTTTATTGTTATTGAATTTCTTCTGGTTGAATTCAGACCAATTCTCACATTTGTCAAGGTCATTCTGAATTCCAATCCTGTCCTCCAAAGTGCTAGCAGCCCCTTCCAGTTTGTGGTTCATCTGGAAATTTTATAAACATACTCTCCATTATCCAAGTCATTAATGAAAATATTTAATACCACCAGACCCGAGACTGACCCCTGCAGGACCCGACCAGATCCTCCCTTCCAAAGAAAAGTAGGTTGGTTTGGCAGGATTTGTCCCTAACAAGCCCATGCTGGCTATTCTTTATACCCCACTATCTTTCCAAGTATCAAAGTGGGACTGACTGGGCTAGAATTCCCCAGGTCCCTTTTGTTCCCCCTTTTAAAGACAAGTGCTATGTTTGCCCTTCTCCAGTCTTCTGGGACCTCACCTGTGCTCTATGAAGGGTTTGAATATTGCTTTAGCTAGTTCCTTAAGTACCCTAGAATGAATTTCATCAGGCCCTGTTGACTTGAATACATCTCAATAGTCTTTAATCTGTTATTTCCCTGTTCTGGCTCGCAATCCTTCCCCCTTGTTAATATTAGTTGTGTTGAGTATCATCATCATTAACCGGTTGGTGGGTGTGGGTGTGTGCGCTGGGAGCAAAGCCTGCTCGGGGGTCTATGGTTCATCTAGAGAGAGGGGGTATGCTTGGATCAAGGGATTGGGGAAGGGGGGGGACTCACCCCAGGCAATTGGGTGCTAGAAGCAGGGAGAGTTTGGTGTGGGGCATGTCTCTCCCCAGATGGGGGGTGCTAGGAGCAGAGAGGGGTCCCTGGCTCATCCCAGGTAGGGGGCTGCTGAGAGCAGGAGGGGGGCCGTGGGATCCGGACTCACCCCGGGTAGGGGGAGCTGAGAGCAGGAGGGGACCGGGCTGTGGGGGCCAGGCCTCACCCCCAGAGCGGGGGATGTTGAGAGCAGGAGGGGGCCGGGCTGTAGGGTTCGGGCCTCACCCCGAGCGGGGGATGCTGAGAGCAGGAGGGGGGCCGGGACTCACCCCGAGCGGGGGATGCTGAGAGCAGGAGGGGGGCCGGGACTCACCCCAGAGCGGGGGATGCTAAGAGCAGGAGAGGGACCGGGCTGTAGGGTCCGGGACTCACCCCAGGAAGGGGGATGCTGAGAGCAGGAGGGGGCCGGGCTGTAGGGTCCGGGTCACCCCAGAGCGGGGGATGCTGAGAGCAGGAGGGGGCCGGGCTGTAGGGTTCAGGACTCACCCCAGGAAGGGGGATGCTGAGAGCAGGAGGGGGGCCGGGCTGTGGGGGCCGGGACTCACCCCAGGAAGGGGGATGCTGAGAGCAGGAGGGGGCCGGGCTGTGGGGGCCAGGACTCACCCCAGAGCGGGGGATGTTGAGAGCAGGAGGGGGCCGGGCCTCACCCCAGAGTGGGGGATGTTGAGAGCAGGAGGGGGCCGGGCCTCACCCCAGAGCGGGGATGTTGAGAGCAGGAGGGGCCGGGCCTCACCCCAGAGCGGGGGATG